TAGTCTAAGTTTTTGTCCTTGAGTTTAACGCAGTTTGTATACCAAAAAAGACAAACAGCACACATGTGCTCAGTTTCACAACTGCCCATCTCTATCGATTCACATTCAACCAACCATAGACTTCACAGTTTTACGCCGACGCTGTGTATTTACTTTGTCCTAACAACCACGCGGGCTTCTAAAGAACACACACAAAAAAAAAGAGAGAGAGAGAAAAAAAAAGAAACTGCGGTTGGCAAACTTTTATGTTTCCTTCACTTCACTATTAGTTATCATTTCTAGTTGTACTTAAAGTGCGATATTATAATTTTAGAATAATCTCATCTACATATTTTACGAATTCCGTGATTTAGAATTGCCGTTCCTAAATATCTCTGCCTTTCTTATTGGTTTCTTGCGTTAAAATAAGTTCACAAAGAACGGTTCAAGCATTTTAAGGCATTTTAAAACTCATTGTAGAAATAATATTGTCGAGAAATCTTAACCAAAATAAATATATTTGTCTCTGAAAATGCAATACAATAAAATACAAGTTCAGATGCTAATGCTAAGCAATTTTGTGTAAAAAAAAAAGACTTAAACACTAATCAAACACTTTTTACGAATGACAAGTCTAAAAATATGTAATAAAAACACTTGTGTGGAAGGCACTTTGTAAATATACAATTACAAAAAAAATCTATTACAATTATACTAAAGTTAAGTATCTTCGTTAACCTCAGAAGAGAATTGTTTTCTGTTTTTAGTACACCACTTCTCCAGAAGGTTATTTTTTCCATATTAACCATCGCAGAAATTAGCAAATAAAGTCATATTTCACTCAACTCACAGCCAATTGATTAAGCCCATAAACAAATGTTATGATCAAAAATAAAAATGCCATGTTTGTTAATTAAGTTTACCTTTACAATACGATTTTCCATATTTAATCTAACACTTTCTCTATAATATCATTTTGGTTAAGAGTTAAATAAAAGAAGAGGACGCTTCTCTAGCTAACGATTTGATATTTCAAAACGCTCTATTTTATATCACTTAATATCTCATGACTTTCACATGAAAATATCTTTCTTAATCCTTTCAAACGGTTTAGTCTTTTATAAATAACAACCCAAGCACAGTCTAAGAAAAACTAAACTGAAACATGTAGTGCCATCACTGCACGTAACTTATTCATCAACACATGAAGAAGAACAAGAAATTAACGTGTAAAATGTATGAAACTAGTTTACTGAAGAAGTCCTGTCGGACATTGCCACAAGCTCTTCACACAAGTCAAAGCTCAAACAAAGACTTGAATGTGTGTTGAGCATGAAACAAAACCAACAAACAGGCGTATACACGGTCTGGACTCTCGCTTGGTGTTATCAATATTGAATGAATAAATCTGGTAAACCATGGGATTGAACTGGGGATCTTTATGAAAGACACATATTCTCGTCAATGTGAATTCTGAACTTTTGATCTAGGTACACAAAGACTGATAAATAACTCATTTGTCTCATGTAGTGCCATCTGGCGTCAACAACTTACTATAAAAAACAAAAATTAAAAATGTACAGAATTTTATGAACCACAAATGCAATAATGTGAACCACAAATGCAATAATGTAATGAGAAATAAACAAATGTATTTGATATATATACATAAGTTGTATCAACTACAGACAACGCAGAAGGGATCTGACCTCGTTCATACAGTACATTTTTAACTAAAGATGAACAATAATTACGTTTTGCTTGTTTTAAGTACAAAGCTAAACAATATGTTATCTGTGCTGTGTCCACTAGGGGTATCGAAATGCGGTTTTTAGCGTTATAAATTTCAAATTTACCGCTGAGCCACTGTAGGTGGGAATGGTTTGGTTTGGTTTGAATTTAACGCAAAGCTACACGAGGGCTATTTACGCTAGGCGTCCCTAATTTAGCAGTGTAAAACTAGAGGGAAGGCGGCTAGTCATCACCATTCACCGCCAACTCTTGGGCTACTCTTTTTACCAACGAATAGTGGGATTGACCGTCACATAATAACGCCCCCACGGCTGAAAGGGCGAGCATGTTTGGTGAGACGGGGTGGTGGGGATGAAACAGTACTTAAAAATTATCAAAATGCTGAAACACTTTGCCAAGCGAAATATGGTTTCAGCATTTAAAAAAAAACATTTTGTTTCTTTCTCTAGTGTAAAGATTTTGCTTCTATTGTTTATTTTTCGAAGCTTTGAACATCGAATGGATTATGTTGAATGAAGCATTTGAATGTACGTTATCATGAACATTGAATAAACTTGCATTTAACTAGCTGTTATCGACTGGTGAGATGACTCAATAAAACCAGTAGAAAAACAACACAAAGAAATGAATCATGTTAACGCTCATCAACAGCAAGTTAAGTACATTTAACTGATGTACAATAAGCGTTCAGGCGTACTTACAACGCAGCTTAAAGCGAAACTCTAAACGATCTATATATTCCCCTTTTAAATGATTCGTATGACAAAAGAAAAAAATATATGCCTTCAAAGTATTCAACTAAAAGTTTAATTAATTCGTACAACGAATGATGGACTCTCAATAAACGATCATTATTGTGGCTAGTTCATCTATTTTTGATTTATTTATTCATTTTTACTGACTTTCATCACGATGCTGTCACAGTAGTGACAAACTTCTCTAAAAATTTTAATTTTTGATTTCTATCACTTTTGTTTTTGTATCGATTGGTCTTTTTTTTCACCGAACTCATGATAAACTACTTACCAACACAATAGTTGAAATTACCCCCACCCTCTTTTACCCCCACGCCATGGTCGATACTTCAAGCCTTGGCAACCGGTCTAGAGTCGTCAGGTTCCTTTCATACTTAACCAATAGAAAAACAAAGTTCAGAAAAGATAAACTGTGATTGGCTGAAAGCGTATGTATTCTCATTCAACCCGTCTGACGTAGGGAGAAATGCCTTGAACTACAGCTACGAGCTTGCTTCTCCCTTGTTTCGTGATGGCGTCAAATATAGAAAAGAGAAGACGACGTTTTGAGAGTTTAATTTTTTTATTTAGCTATTAAGCACAAATAAATACATAATATACATGCAAAGATGTTGCAGTATTTTAATAAAATCAAATATCATTTGGTTTTCTGTTATTAGTATATAATGAAAACGACAGAAAATACTGTATTTTCATTTTTTAGTGAGAATTATAACTGTTGTTTTTATCTTAATTCTTTTTATATTTGAACTTATGCTCAATAACATCTAATACGTATTTTATTAGACTTCAGTGATCTGTAATATAAGACTGTAGTCAGAGTAATGACTGTAGTCATTACGATAAATATTTTATCGTAAACAGTACTAGAATTTAATTTTTTCATAAAAAATATGTGTTGCGACAAAAACGATGTAAAAAGAAAAAATTAGTCAGCAGTTGGATCTAAGGTTCTTAAATTCTAATTTGTTCACAAGAGCCTCTAATATTATCTTCTTTGATGTATGTTGTGCTTCTCTATCTATACCTCTTATTATGTGCAGTTAAAAATCTTCAAAAGTTTTTTAAAATCCTTATTTTTCGGGCGAGATTTTAGGTAGTAGCTACTATTAGATATCTTAGAACATGTAACAGTTGAACCAAACTGTAATAGTGGTTATTAAATAAATTAGCATGCCGTAGGTAGGATAGGTCAACTTCGTTCTCTATCGATCTCAACATGCAATATACTTAGGCCTAGAACGTTGGCAAAGATAATTGTTTTGTTGATGGAATGCCGTTATTCCAAATCCCAAAGGATCTATGTTAACTTCCTAGGTATTATCTCAGTCGGATCCATTCTATCTAGAAATGATTGATGTTTCCATCAGTTGCCTGATAAAAGAATAAAAGATATAATTTTTATTTTGTAACGTAGATAGTGCAACATTAAGCATTATAAGCTGATGAGCATAAAACGTTCAGATATTATACTTTTATTTTAATGCTAAAATAAACTTATAATAGAATCATACTTCCGGAGAAAAGCTACAATATCAAAACGAAAAATGTCAAATCAGCTGATAACAAAAATTTCAGAACCGGGAAGTATGCTACGAATCATTTTATGGTTTTAATTATCCATAAACTATAAATACTGAACCATTTTTCTTGTTTGCAAATCAGAACTTGTGGATTTTTTAAAATTCTAGTTTCTCTGTCTCTTTGTCATCACACTTTACATCCCCCAATACATTACATGTATACATTACATCCTCATATAAAACCTAATCGCGATAACTGAACATAAAAAATTCTATAAATTCAAGATGATGAAGTACAGTACATATTATGTCACTGTGTTCAGAATTGTAGGTGGCGTGTAATGTCAAAACTACTGGACGTGTATTGAGTCACCTTTATAGTTTTTCTTGTTATTGTTTTCAACACATTGACTTTTCCCTGAAATTCACTATCGGAAGATAATACAATGTGGTATGTCTAAATACGGCTTTATCGTCTTCACAAGTAAACACTGCCAAGCCTGCTTAGCTTTTGTGTATACACCTAGGACTAGCCAGATGGAAGGCTTCTCAAGGCTATTGTGTGGCATTAGTCATTGTCTGGCAGGTTAGGGGCCACAACTTATTCACTTTCCTTGCAACCACTAATACAAAAATAAATTGGATATGAAAGAGTATTTGAACCTTCAAGAAATAAACAACTAAGACTAATCGTAGAAAAATATAAATAATAGTGTTAAAATATATATTTTATATGCATGCGTGTATATATAGCAATATACATATATCGCAACATAGAATTTGCACTCATCTTTATTGCGAACCCATATTTATTAAAAAAACGTTCAAGGAAGATCGACGGGAAGCTTTTTTCCGCAATATTTAATCTTCTACTAATCCTCATATAAAGTGATTAAGTAAAAACTATACACTAGTTTGATTTGAATTTAGTTACATAGTAAACCATACCCAGTAAAGAGATTCCATGGACGAGTTGTACTATAATACTTTTGCTTTGTTCTACATCCACTTTTTTCTAGCTTTTTTTTTTTTAGATGAATTTCCGCCATCCTTTATAGATAACTCCAAAACCGAAAGCCATTGGACCGTCTCATCTACCAGCTATGTCGATTGTTACAAGATAAAATACAGTTTCGAGAAGAATAGCTTATACAAGCAGTATTTGTTGAAGAAAAAGCAGATCTAATGTAAAACAACTAACGTACTTACCACCAAGTTCCGAGGAGGAGAAATACTACAGAGTAAGATGTTCGAAACTAATTGGAATATTTTGTAATTTAAAACTTTTCTCATTTTTTTTTTTCACAAGTTGATAACTAATGTTTTTTTTTGGTTTTTTTACTGTCATAATTTTTTGTCGCGTATTATTTTATTCATAGTCTTGGTAAATGACTGTTCTTAATGTGATTTTTTTTTTCGAAAATGATTAATTGTGATTTATTTTAAAACAGTTATATAGTTTTAAACAATTTGTTTGTTTTTAATTATGCATAAAGCTACACAAGGGCTATCTGTGCTCTGCCCACCATGGGTATCGAAACCCAGTTTCTAGCATTGTAAGTTTGCAGACATGCCGCTGTGCCACTGGGGGGCATTGAACAATTTATTTTAGTATTAGATGATATATCATCAAGGCATTTGTATAACCTAAAGTTTCGAGATAAAGTCCTTGCCCTGCAGCTAAATTCCTCATATCAACACTTTCTATCCATGAAAATCTCTTTTGAACTTCTGCTTATGTTTTCACAAACATATCCGATAGAGTCAAATATTTTATGACTTAAGCCTAAATCAGGAACATTTATGCAAACATTACGGCTAAAAATATCGTTAACAGCGAGAGTACCAAACTAATCAAACAATAATGGATTCTAATCTTTATAAATAACAGCGTCAGAACAGTATATTTAATTGGATATGTTCATTACCAGGTTGGTTTATAGTTATAATCTATGTAGGTAGCTTGCTTTGAGCAAAAGCTGATATTAATTAATACGTCAACACACATGATGCCAATGTCTGAAACATCATTCTCTAACAAGGTATACAGAATATTTGGTAAATAATTTCAAACGAACAGGAAAACACCTAGTCAGTTTTAAGTCTTGTACACTTTATTAGTGAAAGCGTTACTTTTCAGTCAGCTCTTGAGTTATTTATACGCATGCTTTTCGTAAAGCACTAGAGTCGTGTTTTAGAGGAGACATTTTCTTTCAGTGTACTCAGCTTTAGAATCTGTTTTTCCCGGCATTTCAAACGTATTTCGCTGAGAAAATGTTTTCCCCTTATCTGTGTATTTCGTGAAGTTTTCAGTACTTAGTTTTTTGAAATCCATAAGGCACACTTATCAATGCCGTAAAATTAGACGTTTATCTTCTCGCTGATTTTCGAGTACATACTTGAATATCAGTACTACCTGCATAGGTGGCGTTTCTAATATCAGTCTCAGCTAACAAGCTCAAATAAAACTCGCAAAAGAATTTGCATTTGTTGATTAAAATTTCTTTAGTTCATTATTTCTTCTCATAAATTCTGTAGGTTTAATTGTAGTGATGTACCCTTACGCTTAGTAAGAATATATACACTAACATAAAATCATCACACTTTTCACGTTACGTATATAAACACAATATTTTTTATTTCTTTATTCTACATTTTCTGTTTCCATTGGAAATAACTAATTGATGATGCAAAAGTTTGATAACATATAATTGATTATATTTGCCACAAGACCTATTATATATTTTAACACTACATTCCTAATTTAATCCCTTACGGACTTTCAAGCATCAGAAGATTATATAATAATAGTATTTTAACAACATTATATTCGTGATATCTATTGACGACAACGCGTTTCCCTCAATCCAGAGATATTCAAGCCGGCTGGGATACAACGCACGTAGTAGTGGTCAAAATACTATCTATAAAAGCAATTTGTTACAACAACAGTTGTTATGGTGTGAACGCCTTTTAGAAGCTGGCGAAGCATGATATAATTAATTAAATTTGTCATAAGACATTATGTTAGTCCTATTATATTTTAACACTACATTCCTAATTTCGTCCTTTAAGGGTTTTCAAGAATTAGAAGAGTGTATAATAATAGTATTTCAATCAATCTATATTCGTCATATCCATTGTTAAAACATATAATTGGCATAACATAATATCTTAAGACAAATATAATTAATTATATCACGCTTCGCCAGCTTCTAAAAGGCATTCACATCATAACAATTTTTGATAAGTTAGTTTAAATTTTTCTGATTATACTAAAAATACTTTTATTGTTTTAAAAATCGGTTATAATTATAAATGATATAAGTAACTACCCTACCGTGTTTTAAAATTTACAAAATAAATAGTGCCAAACCTATTGCCTTTCAGTTAATTTTTTGTACATATGCAGAAGAAAAATAATTGTTTGTTTGTTTTTGAATTTTACGCAAAGCTACACGAGAGCTATCTACGCTAGCCATCCCTAATTTAGCAGTGAAGGGCTAGAGGGAAGGCAGCTAGTCATCACCACCCACCGCCAACTCTTTTTACCAACGAATAGTTCGATTGACCGTCACATAATAACGCTGCCATGGCTGAAAGGGCGAGCATGTTTGGTGGGACTCAGATTCGAACCCGTGACCCTCAGATTGCGAGTCAAGCACCCTAACCACCTGGCCATGCCATGCCAAATAATTGTTACAGACTTCGACCTGCAATTAGTCTGCCATTCCTAGCTATGCTTGAGGTTAATTGTACCCAGCTCATCATGGATATATATTAAACGAATTTGTAGTATTTTGCTTTCAGAACATGTATTACTCATACTGCCTTTTCGTTTGAGATTACAGATCTCTGACAATTAATAGCAAAGTTAAGTTCTAAGAAAAGAAAGCTTTTTCATTAATTTAATAATACCTGGGCTTTTTTTATTATTCAGTTCTGTGCGGAGTTGTCACTAGTTGTAAGATCGGTATTGTCCCACAGCGACATCTGTACTGTGTCTAATTGGGTGTACATCGCTGTCTAAAGTGTCTCTCCGAGTTTGTTAATGATCATTTAGAATTCTTTCTGCAAATATATTTTGTTTGAAACAACTGGAACTAACTTTACTAGTTCTTATATAACAAGTCGCTCGCTCTTTCTTCAACTCTGAATTTTACATTGATTATCGGACTTTAATGTTAAAGTAATTAAAATGAGATAAAAGGCCTGCCTTCCTACGATACTTTACTCGCAATTATTTAAGCGTATACCAAACTCAAGTCACTGGTTTTTATCTGCTAAAAGAACCGGTAGCAAGAAACCTCATTATCAAGTGCAGTATAAATTCATCTCGAGCGCTCAGCAATAAAAGTATTTATAGTTAAATAATTTCACGTGCCATCCAAGTTAAGTACATACTGTATGCAGCGTATACCTTATCTACACAAATGGCATAATCACAGTATCATAGTTTCTTGGAAGGGTGCCAAATAAAAATGTTTTTTTTTTAAGTTTTTATTTTCTGTGACATGTAAGTTTAATAATATATCATCATTATAAACAAAGAATATTTTCGGCTAAAATATTCATTAATATTTTAAGGCTTAACCTACACCCAAAATGTGTGATATTTAGCACTTTGCAATGCTCTCTATATTGTTACGATTTTTTTCTGCATATAACTTGGTCATGACCAAAAACGATTAATCCCTCAAAAAGCTACTTTCATTAGAAGTCTATAGTGCAACTGTACATCCAATATTATCACTGTGGGCATGTAGTTTTTTTTTGTACCTGGATGTAATTACCAAAATGTGTTTGTTTGTTGGGTTAATGGCAAAGCTACTATGACTTTCTGTCGCCATTCCTGATCCTAAACTGCTGACCATAGGGAAAGCAACTGGTCAGCAGCACACACTGCCAACATTTGGGCTACTCTTTACTGACAAATAATGGGATTGACTGTAATATTATAACAACTCCACGGCTGAAAGGGCGAGCATTTTCAGTGACAGGTTTAGATCCAAAGACCCCACAGATAACTAGCTAACTATACGATTTAAGGAAACATTACTAGGTTAGTGAAACGTTTCGGGAGTATATTTCATTTTCAGCTTCTGCAAAATGTGTATAAAAGTGAAAAATAATCGTTTTAATAAAACTAAGAACAGTAGTGTTTGTTACTGAAGTTTCGTCCTCTTTTTCAAGCAGTTAACTTTTATACCTGATATCGTAGGATATATAAGTAAGTTTTCTACTATGGGAGAAAGAGCACAAAGCAAAATATTGAATATGCCCCGAAGTAATCCTAAAGACTTTTCGTGTACGTTCTGCCTTTCAACAAGCCTCGTATTGTATAGGCAGATCACGCTTATCGCTTGCAGTGTACGGAGACTTAACTGTCACAGACTAAAAACTATTACTCTACGTTTCATACAAACTGGTAGTCGCTCTCCAGTAAAGTGAGATAAAAGCAACGAAATGTAGAATTTATGTTAAAATTGTGCAATAAGAAAGGCCTGGTTGCAAATATTATAGTATTGTTAAGTAACAACTAACAAGTATACTTCGGGTCTTTGTAGTAATGATTGGTTTTCAGTAATCATAGAACATACACAGTATTAATAAATTAAATTTTATTACAATTATAAATATCGGAATTTTCTTCAAGTTTAGACAAAAAAGTACTTTGTAGTGTATTATAGAAAGGATATAAGTTTTTCAAATTAACTGCCATCATGAAGTGAGATTCAACTGGTCATTGATATTACATATGGGTAACATTTTGCAAAAGTTACAATTCAGTACTAGGCCTAATCAAATTTATATTACTTTTGATCAAAGCATTACTTATTTATAGACACAATGATACGTGAAGCTAAATCTATATCGTGTAATTGATATCTTTAACCTCTGGCAGTAATATGAATCCTGGTTAAGCTACTGCGTTTCGAAAGTTTTAAACTAATATGTTAGTTAAATTTAATTCCTAAAAATACGTATCCTCAGTAAACGTTTCTAAAATTCTGTTATTTATTTGCCCACAAGAGTGCTTTAATAATTCAATATTTTCGAGTAATTTTTATTTGAGAATACTTTCCAATATTCTAGAACATTACAGTGAACCTTAGTTATTATGTAAATTTAAATTACAAGACGATTGTTTATTGAATTTCGCGCAAAGGTACTCGATGGCTATCTGCACTAGCCGTTCCTGGTTTAGAAGAAAGACAGCTAGCCAGCGTCAACCACCGCC